AAAGGCGACAGTGCCCCGCGTTGTCAGGCCTGCGTGTTTATTTACAGTTCACGTGGGAAGTGGGTCTTCCCTCCTCTCACAAGCGTCCCGCTCCTGGTTGCTGGCGCGCCCCGCTCCCGCCAGAGCCTCTCCGGCCCGCCCGGCTCGTTTATTTACAGTCCCGGGAAGGTTCCCTTCCCCCAATCTTCAGCGCTCAGGCGCCCCACCCTCTTTCCAGCGTGTCTTAACTGTTCTTATTGCTTAGTACTCAGTTTCTCTTTTTTCCCGGGTGGAGGTCAGTCTGTCCAGGGGGCTATGCTGCTCTGGCCCAGGCTTGTCTGTGGGGGAACCGCGGTACCGCGAAGCTCACCTGGTCCGCGTCTTCCCACGCCGTATGGGCGCTGGCCACTGGCGGCCCGGGGGCCTCCTCGGTTCTCCGTTTAACGTGAAGTGGAGATTCTCTGCTCCGGCTGGAGATGTGGAGGAGTCAAAGTTATGCCTTTTCTCGGTGATTATGCCTGCAAAGTGTGTCTCCAGCGTCTCTCCAAGATTTCACTATAGGAGGGTCGCTTTCTGCTTCCTACCTCTAGCCGCCATCTTGGAATTCCTCCTAAAATTCTTGATGCAAGGTGAAAGGAATGAGGTTTGGTGGGCTAATTTTCCTAAGGCTATAGAAGCTTAATGATGATGACACATCTGTTCTGGAATCATCAAGGCATGCAGAACACCTTATCTAAGGTATTGATTAATCTGGCATTAGGGAGTCTTCTAACAGTTCTGGTACTTAATCTAGTTTTGCATCAGAGAGCTGGTATGTGGACACATCAGGTTGTATTCTTCAAGGAGATGTGAGAACAAAGGTCAAGACACCAGGTACTGGGAAAAATATGGTAGGAGAGGCTGTGCAAACTTCTACCATGGAGAGGCTGTGCAAACTCCATTTTTCCCCAGCCCAAGTTTCATGGCTTGTCTCCAACAGATGGGTTTTTTTTTTTTTTTTAAGATAAGGTCTCATGAACTAAATGTCCCAGCTGGCTTCGAACCACCATTGTCCTGATCTCTGCCTACTGAGTAGCTAGGATTACAGGCATGAGACACTGGCACCTGGCTTCCAAATTCTTGTTAATACAGCCAAATTCCTTTTGCAATTGAAGAAGAACAATTTTAAAGCAATATGATGTGCAAAACCTCTTGAAATTCTATGGAAAATATGTTTTACAATGAAATTGAAACCATGTAAAAAGTATGGACTGCTGAAGTCATCATCGAATATGCTGATATATGGAAAAAGAAGAAAACACTCTCAAATTACAGCGCTGATGGGAGAGCGGTGAGGAGTGGAAAGATAACTCCTATTTATCCTTCTACGTGAAACCACATGACAAGAAGAGAAGTCAGACTCTCAAAGTGATTTGAGTGATTCCATCAGAGCAAATGAATTTGCTAGAAAGATTCAGGCAGGCTCTGTAAATCGCAGAAAGAGCAAGAACATGGAAAGAGGCATGTCTTTGAAACAAAACTGGAGAAAAACCATTTTAGTTACCTTTTTCAATAGTTCTATGTTGCAAGATAGGAATCTTAGAGTCCACAAATATGAAAGGAAGCAGCAGCATTTGGCAAGAGTCAGGAAATATTTGTTACCAAAACAGATATCACTCACTTAGTGTAACCATAATTCCAGGCAGGAGAATGTGATACAGCAAGACTGTAGTGCAACTCCAGTTTTCCCCAGGACTACTCCTGAGACTGCCCCATGTCTCCTGGTTTCTCATCCCTGATGACATTTGGAGTAGGTCTTATAATTTCATAACTCTTCTGGTCACTTTTAGATCATAAAACGCTATTTAGTCTTTTTGTTTTCTTTGGTGGCACTGGGGACAGAACCCAGGGTCTTGCACATGCTAGACAGTGCTTTCCCACTGAGCTACAACCCCAGCTCTCTCTAGTCATTTTTAAGTCCTTAAAGATTCTCATTTTAGTACTGAAATGCCTGGCCCATATTATAATAAGATGTGAGTTTGAGGGTCTCTCCTCCCCAAGTCAGCTCTGCCATGGTTGACAAATGTATTCTCTGCCTCAGTGCCTCTCCTTCCCCAGCCCACCTTGCATCCCAGCATCTGTTCCCTCCCCCCAATAGTGCCATTAAAACTATGGGCTAAAGTGAAGCCTATTTCTAATTCCTCCTTCCTAGGCTAGTATCTGAACAGCTTCTAAAAACATCCCTGAGGAAGAACAAGTCTCCCATGCGGTAATACCCAGGAATTTACATTTGGTAGGGAGGAGCAGGACGTCCAGGTAGCAGGGTCCTGTGACTTGGACTGAGATGGGCTTTGCTAAGTTCTTCACTAACCCCCCACCCCCCCACCAATGTGGTTTAACAGGGCCTGGACAACGTGACCTGGAAAGCTCACCATTTCTCTTAGGGGTTCCTTAGAGCCTTAGTACCTTAGAGTTCCTTAGGATCAGACTTAAGATCACAAGAACCTGCTTCTGCAGGTCACCATTTCACGTGAGTGAGATCTTTCAATGACTTTTGAAACCTCTGTTTGTGTCCACGTTTTCTGTTTGTGTCCACAAACCCATCAAGAAAACCTGTTAGTTCATTATGTGTGGGACACAGCTTCCCATTCTGGGGCCATGGATCCCTGTGAAACCACATGTCCTGTAGCACAGAGGAGGATCAGAAGAAAACAGTCTAGGCCTGAGTTCTGAGAAAGCAGCAGGGAGGTAGGGACGGCATAGCAGAGAGATAAAACCTGAGAAATCTGAATGTGAGGAAAGTCACGTTAGCACCAGGGAGGGGAAAGTCACATAGCACTAGGGTAAAGTAGCCAATAAAATTAAATATAACCATATATGGATTAGACCTTGCTTTTTGCTTTTATAACCTGCTTGCAGGTATATAAGGTGAGACCCCTTTGTTCTTGGGGCTCAGCTTTTGGACATGAGTCTGCTGAGTCTGTGCTGGCACAATAAAACGTTGCTTCCTGCTTATTGCCTCAAGAGTCCCGTATCTCAGCTGGCACACTCCCACAACAGTCCCAGTTCCTGTGTTGTTGCCACATTCAGTGGTTACAAAGGACACCTTCTGTCCTTTGTGAGTCCTTAAAAATTTGCTTGACCTTAAAAAGGGATGTTGGTATTTGAAATCACTGATTTGGACTGAGTTTGAGATTGGAGTTTCATTAAATCAATAGGAACAATGTTTGAAATCCACATTCCTAGGCCCCACTCCCAAAAAGTATCAAGTCTCAATTTCTAAAAAAGCTCCGTGATGAGTGTAATGTCCATACATCAGTGTGCCTGCCTGGCAACTCATACAAAAAGCCGAGAGGGAGAATGCTCCATCACAAGCTGGAGTGACCCTCAGGAAACAATGAGAGATAACCCAGTCATGTATAGGGAAGTCCTAACAAGTTTGGCTTCTTCCTGAGTGGCTCACTGGGACTGGATACTGTTCAAAACTGGGTGAATGTGGTTGGTGGTGGTACGGGATGTAAGGCTGGAGTGACCCTTATAGTGTGTGTATGTGTTTGGGGGAAGACAAGCAGGTTAAATGTACCATACTGACCACAGACTCTGAGTACCTATAGTGTGCTGGACCCTGTGGAGTAAGAAGGGGACACAGAGGACTGGCTAACGATTGAGGTCAACCAGGAAGGTTTCCAAAAGAAGGGACCCCCCCACACACACCAAGCTGTGTCTTAGAACTAGAATTCATCTTTGGAATCAGCTGCACTCCCAGGTAGGGAAGAATATGGGGTGGGGGAGCAACACTTTGAGAAAGAATAAGATGAGAAAGAACATGGCTCAAAGTTCCAAGAAGAGGAAATTCTGGCCAGCCTTGGGGGTGAGGGAAAGGGGAGACTGAGCAGTTGCAAGGTCTTCAGGAGCCAGCCCACCAGGAGCATTGCATGCTAAGGACTTTGGGGGATGGACTCCATGAACATGGAAGATTATGGAAGAATTTAAGGAAAGAAGTGATGTGACTAGCAAGCTGGTGGACAAATGTTTAGTGGAGCAGCTGCCATAGAGGAGGAGGGAGAAGTGGTTTGGTGTTGGAGTAGTCCCAGCTGGGACTTTCCAAGCCGTTAGATAGATCAAGGAGGATGGACACAGCTACAGTCAGGTCATGGGCTAATTAGAGCATGGGTGGGTGTATAAGATGATTTCCAATTTTCTCTTTCAGGAAACAGGGAGGGAGCCAGGTCCCCTGTGATTAGCTATAGAGAATCAATCACATTGAGTTGGGTGGTAATGAGTCCAACTTGGGGCAGAATTCTGAAACAAATTTAAGATAGGTGGAACCTGAAAAGGGGTAGTCAGAAGGATGAGAGGAAAACTAGAATTAGAGTCACAAAGCCCAGTGCAAGGAACATTTTCAGTACAGAGTAACCCTTGGTGTCCAACAGAGGTAAATGAAACACTGTTCATGGCATTTGGTGATCAACCAGAGGCACCTTCTGCAGAGTTCTGGAGAAGGAGGCAGGACTGCAGGGCCACCGAGTCTGAGATTGGAACGGATGGCTGGGGATGGAGGCAAGGACCTCAGAGGACTGAGGGAGGATAGGGAGGATAGAAAGGAGGCTGGGAGAACAGGAGGAGACAGAGAGGTTGGGAGGGAGGAACTCATAGGTCAGAGGAGTCAATGTGCTCTCTGGGAGACCAGGAGTGTAAGCCACAGGCACTAGAAGTAGGCAGAAATTTGGGTCCTGGACTCCAGGAGGAATTGATCTGGCCTTCTGTTGCAATGAATGTGCAATGTCTTCTGAAATTATAAGTGTAGTTTATTTCTCTGAATAAGATTTATTGCAATAGTACATAGGGGATATAAATTAGCTATAAGAGTGACAATGAGAGAGAAAAATACTGCCTGCAGCACTCGTTTGCACATTTTGGAGGACAGAGACCATGAGCTCAGTTGGTGAACTCCTCCGGCCCCGCCCACAGGGGCGTGCCCACCAGACGCCCCGCCCACCCCGCGGTCACGTGACCCGCCAGTACTCCACAAGGCTGAAAATGGCCACTGGGTGTGGTGAAGGCGACGCACTTGAAGCCGCGGTCTCTTTTCTCGTCTTCTGACACCGCCTGCGGTCCAACGGGCTGGTTCATGCTGAGCTGGGGGCGCGGACTTCGGCCAGGTTGTGCGAAGGTCAGTGTGGAGGTGGCCGGCGGGGGGTCACAGGGAGGTGGAGAGGCGAGGTCGGTGAGGAGGGCACCTGAGCCGGGGAGGGGGGCGGGGAGGGTCTCCGAGGGAGCCGGGATCGGGGTGGGGGGCGGGGGGGAGGGAAGAGGTGGAGGTCGGCCGGGGAGGGGTCGAGGGGGGGCGGGGAGGAGGAGGGGGACAGGTGGCGCCGCCTGGGGTCTCTGCGCTGTTTTCTCCTTTGCTTTTATGTTGGGCTCCATTGTCATATGCAGGCTTTTAAAACTTAAAAAAAAATTTTTTCTTTGCGAAGTACTGGGGCTTTAACTCAGGGCCTACACCTTGAGCCACTCCACCAGCCTTTTTTTTGAAGGGTGTTTTCGACATGGGGTCTCCGGGACTCGCAATCCTTATGATCTCTGCAGGCGTCAGGAGAGAAAGGGAAGAGATCCCAGAGTGATGACCCTGGAGAAGAGTTGAAAGATGCGTTTGGTTGATTGCGAGTGTTAATACTGGGTCAGGGGTTCCAGGTAGTTGGAGCAGCATGAGCACACTCGTGATTCCACAGATACTGGGTTCTGCTGTCTGCCAGGCGCTTCCTTATCTGCTGGAGGATGAGCGGCGAACAGAGATAGTCCCCATTCTCATTGAGCTACATTTGTTAGAATTGTGGAGGGGAACAGACACTAAAAGTAAATAGCATGTGAAGTCATGTTGAGCACTATCTAGAAGAGTAAAATAAAGCAGGGTCATGGGGAATGATAGTAGCAGGGGTGATGGCTGTTTGTACACATTGGTCAGGGAAGTGCTGATCAGGTGACATTTAAATAGAAGTTCAGTGTGGCCTGAGCGGGTGAAGCAGAGAATTCTAAACATGGATTCAGGGAGGTGGAGAAGGAAAGGGGTGGAACAGATCAAACAGAGCCTTGTAGGCCTTGGAAGGATTTGGGCTTTTATTTTGAGTAGGAGTACAACTGTTGGGGGTTTTTTTGAGCAGATTGGCCATAGGAAGACTTAGAATTTAGGAAGATCACTGTGTCTTTTGTATAGAGGTGGTGAGTATTGCTACCCAGGCCTGGAAGGTTAGTATCCTTGCAGGACAGGGCCACTACATTTGGATTATTGTTGTTGGAGACTAAACAGAGAGGCTGGAGATAGTAGGACCATGGAAGAGGCCATTCAGGAATGTATTGTGTCATATCTGGAGGATACAAAGTCAGAAATTGTTTGTCAACTTGGTCACTATTGTTGCTTTGGTGTAGTTTGTAATGGGGGAAAGTTACAAATGCATCATAATCTTTGGCCCTTTCAAAAAGGAATTTTGAATATATAGTAGACCCTTGGTATGCGTGAGTATATGCTTTCAAGATGAGCGCCTTTGAGGAAAATCACGAATGCTCAGGATGCATAGAGTTCAGTGCTGTGCTGCAGATGTTTGATTTATCTTTCCCACAAAGCAGCTGACTTCTCCTAAAGATGGGGTTCCTTTCAAAAAGTCTCAGATTTTCACTCTCACTTAATCACATTCACTGTTAGCGTGTTTTTTGGGCTATTTGCTTTTGGGAAGGTGTATTTTCACAAAATTAAAGGCAGAGAAATGCTCATCAGATCACACATTGATTTAAACACAACTGATGATAACACAGTACTGACTGAGAGCTTGTCCATTCAACTGAGCTGTGTAATATATGTGTCTGATTTAAAATTTTTGTTATTGAACTTTCATTTTATTTATCATGCTTGGTCAAAATCACATGTGATGAGTTTGTGAATAAGGCGGGTTTACCGTACCAAAAAGTTTTTTGGTAACCTGTTAAATTTGTTTGCAGTTTCCAAAAATGAGCTTATTATAACGTAAAGATGTTTTTCTAGCATTGCTATTTGCCATATCTGCCATTAAAGCATGTCAGGAAATATTGTTTGTTGTTGTTGTTTCAGTTACTTGATGTTTCCAAATATAAAAAGAAAGTCAAGAATCTTAGACCGGTTAGAATCAGACCATCTCAAATGAGACCTTCTCTTCCTCCCTCCACTCCTTCAGTTTCTCCCAGCTCTGGTGTAACATATATTTTCAGAAGGTCACTGTGAGTGCATTGTGGGTACCTGGTAGGGGAGGTGAGTGGAGGCAGGGACACCAGTTGGGAAGCTACGATCCATCCAAGTGAGAAGTCAGGGTGGAAGTAATGGAGACAGGGAGCAGTTACAGATAGAGCCAGAAGAATGTGTTATGGATTGAAGGTAGGGTATGAGAAGAAGAGTTAAGTCATGGTTAAGTCAAGGTTTTGGGCCTTGGAAGAAAGGCGCTGGAGTTGCCATGGGCTGAGGTGGAGACAGCAAGAGGAGGAGCAAGGGAGCATTGCTTTGTATTTGGGGTGGTGATGATGAAGGCTTGGGGATGGATCTGAAGTTTGGGGGTTGGGTGAATGTGAGTCTTGGGAAATGACATTTTGTCAGCATTTTGACAACTGAGTAGTGGGACTTTGTTTTTAGTTCTATCATTGGAGGAATACTGGCACAAGTTTAGGGTTAAAATTGGTAATATGTTTAATAGTAACTTAGTTTATTTCTAACCACAAATTATGTATGTTTTGTCTAAATTACTTTAAATAGGTGAAATAAAGATAACTACAGCTTTCTGTGAAAATGTCAGTTCTGATATCACAGAGTGTTATAAATTATGTGGAAGAAGAAAACATTCCTGCTCTGAAAGCTCTTCTTGAAAAATGCAAAGATGTTGATGAGAGAAATGAGGTAAGGCCCAGTTTCTAAGATTAAATTCTTTCACACGTGTTTGTTGCCTCTGTGTGCCAGGCGCTGTACTAAGGATGAAGGTGAGTAAGAAGTAGGTGATCCTTCGGGCTGGGTGTGGTTGTGCACATCTGTTATCCCAGCTACTAGGGAGGACAAGATTAAATGGATCACAGTTCGAGGCCAGCCTGAACAAAAAGTTAGCAAGCCCCATCTCAATAAACAAGCTCTGCATGGTGGCACATCTGTAATTCCAGACATGGGGGAGGAGGAGTGCAGTCTGAGGCTGGCTCTGGGCAAAAGAGAAACCCTATGTGGAGAGTAAACATTTATATGCAAATGACATAATTGCTCAGTTTCTTGTGGAAGATTCTGTCTGGTAGAACTCACATTTGAACACTGCCCTTGTTGACTTCAATCTGTTTATGTTCTACTTCCTTTCTTGTAGTTGACAGAATAAAATCCATCTAGTGATAATGCCTGTATTTTTAATGTCTCTATGATGAGCAAGGTAAGATTATCACACTCTTATTATCAGTAGTCAAGAATTGTTATAAATAGATATGGCCATTTTATTAGCATACATTAGCATATTGAGAATAACAAAATGTGGTAACATAAAAAGATTCAGTTTTACTTTATAGACAGTTTCTGAGAGAATACTTGGAAAATATCTTTACAGGGAGAATAGTGTACTGGTAAGCATAACATTGTATTAATCTTACTGCCATAAATAGTAAAGCATGTTTGGCCTAGAGATTACCTTAGCATTATACACGAGCTAGCATTTAAGAGCTATTACCATTTCATTCCGTTTTATTATATCAATTTAAACTGGAGTTTTAAAGTATTTTGAAAACACTTAGAATTGTTCAGTTTCAGCTTAGTGTGAAAGTTGAGAATAAAGGAGCTTTCTGAAGGCCTGTTTTTAGCCTTAGCATTTTGCTTCTAGGACTCTTTTTTTTTTTTTTTTCAGTGCTAGGGACTGTCACTCTTGAAAATGATTCTTAAATATTAGAACAATAGGTAAATAGCATGGTACTGTACTTAGCATACAATTGGCTACAGTCAGTAAATTCTGAATTCCTCCTTTTCTTTCTGCTTTATTTATAAAATAGATAAATCTCTTGACCTATGAACAGTTTCAGTGATGACAAATCTGTGTCCTTGGTTGAGCAGTGAAGGGATTTTACTTTTATTTTTGGAAAGAACAAAATCATCCTCTCCTTGGTCCAGGGGTAGTGTTGAGGCTGGGCATTATTCTCCTGGTTAAGAAAATGAAGTAGGACTTAAAGAGATGGATTTCATTATGTGTTTATAGACTCTAGAGTGGATTTCAAAGGAAGAATACAAAATGTTTTAGTGTCACTACAAGTATTGGAAGGAATGTATATCCCTCACCAGAGGATGACGGCTTTGAAAGGCAATGGTTGTTTCGGTCTTACTCACCTCAGTAAGTAGAAATGTGAGTCTAGGAATTAGGAAGAACATAAAGATGTATGAACACTAGGTGTTTTTGCATTGTAGTGTTCTGGGGAGTTGAGAGAAGGGAGGAAACCTGTTGTGGGGAACTTCAGCTTGTACATAGTGTTGCTTCATTTCGTGTGGTTTGGCTTGAGATTTTTATAAGAGCAGGGGTGTCTCAGTCCATTTGTACTGCATTTATAACAAAATACTACAGACTGTAATTTCTAACAACAGAAATGTATTTCTCATGGTTTTGGAGACTAAAAAGTCCAAGATCAAGGGGCTGGCATCTGTGTGAGCCTTCTTTTTGCATTATAACATGGCAGAATGCTATGGGTGAGACAGCATGTGAAAGAGAGAATGAGAGAGGAAGGAAGGGGGACCAAATTAACTCTTTTATTGAGTCCACTCCTGCAGTAAGTAACTTGCTCTCACATTAGTGGCATTGATCTGTTTCCAAGGTCTGTGCTCCCTTGACCTTATTATCTCAAAGTCTCCTGCCTCTTAATACTGTTGCATTGGGAATCAAGTTTCTAACACATGAAATTTGGGGGACACATTTAAACCATAACAAGGGGTTTTGTGGGTTATGTAATCCTGTGTTTTTTGGAAAGAGGCTTGGGATTTGATAGGGTGTATAACTTAGGTATGGAAGGGACCTTTAACGATTGATTTTCAAATGGAAGGATAAAGTTGTTATAGTAAGTTACTATTTATAACTGTAGTTACTAGATTGGTTTAAGCCAAGAACTAGAAGTTAAAACTAGGCTTCATTTTGAGACTCATTTTATAAAGTGCCACTATACTTTCTTTTGGAATCCAATAAAACTTCATGGCCAACTGTACTGAAACTCCCAGGATAGTATAGCTATCAAAGCTATATTAGTTAAGATTTTCTTTCTGTCGTATGTGACAGCTTTCAAAATAGTGGTTTAGACAAGTAAAGATTTTGCTTTTCTCACATGACAAGCTAGTGGAGCTATTCCGAGTTTGGTGTGGTGGCTTTGGGACACCACTAGGACCCAGACTCCATTTTGCTTTTCTGGCATTTTTTATGCCAGTTACCCCACTTCAGCTGTATTGATACAACTCCAGCATTCTGTCTTGTGTATTTGATAAGAAAAGAGAAAGTCTCCTTCTCCAGCTTTTCTGGGAGACATAGCCATGACTGTGGAATGGGGTCATTTCCAGCTGTAAGCAAGGCTGAGCAGTGGGTGTCTTAGCTGAGCATGTTGCCACCCGATAAAATCCTGTCCTTCTGGATACTGGGCAGACAGCTAATAGTTCCTGGAAGAGAAAACTGCAACTATTCGTCTTTTCTGTGGTATATAACTGTAGTTAATCAGATTAAAACAATCTTATTTGTGATACAAATGTTTATGCATGTTTACATCAATTTTTTTTTTCTTGGTCGTGCTGGGGTTTGAACTCAGGGCCTCATGCTTGCTAGGCAGGCACTCCTACTGCTTCAGCTACTTCCCCAGCCCTTTTTTGTGATGGTTTTTTCCTAGATAGGGTCTTCCGAACTATTTGCCTATGCTAACTTCAAATTTCGATCCTCTTGATCTCTGCCTCCTGAGTTAGCCTGGGCTACATCTTTTTTTTAATCTCATCTTGTGGAACACCTGTCTGTGTGAACTGAAGTATAACTGTGACCCAGAAAGTAAACATAAAACCCCTTTGAGTCTTTGGAATTAATATTTTGAAAACTTTTGTAAAATTCATACACCTTTAGAGTCTTGGATTCAGTTTCTTGGCTTTAATTTCTATATTTTAACAGTGACTTTTATATCTTACTTTTAATCCTAGTAGAATAGAAGGAAGTGAGGATGCTGCATGCCAAAATATTTAGAGCTGGTGGAGGCATTTTTGGTGTGGTAAATATGTCTATAGTTATGACTCAGAGTTATAAACATAATGTTTAAGGTCATCTGTTTAACAAGTTGCAATTGTGCATTGCTTTTTAAAATAGTGATTATCAAATTTAATGTTGAAAGGATAAAGTTTTTCACCTGGAAAATTTATGTATAATATCTCATTCCCTAATGAGTGAGTGACATGGCTGTCACATACAATTTAGTATCCATCACTATATGTGTGTTTTAATGTGATTTATTTTTGTACTTTGTTTAAACCAGTACTGAAAGGAAAGTGAAGTGGAAAAGAGACATAGTGAGAAAGAATCTATGACCTTCATAAGCAGCAGGCCTTTATTAGGGAGAGGAGACCTGAGAGGGACCTTCGGCCATCTGAATAACACTCTGAGAGGGACGAGAGCAGGCCTTTCTTTTAGGCTGGGGATTTTAAATGTCCTGTGGCTGGAAGAGGGAGGTTGGCGGGGGGTGGGCATCAGGTAAGATGGTTGGGAAGGAGGATGGGGGAGGTGTCGGACATTAGCGGGAAGGTCATGCTTCTTGTTTTCTTGACATTCCAGTAGTTCCAGCATTTGCATTGTTTCAGTGTTTCCTGACAGTCCATCAAGTACTATGTTTAAACCCTTTACTTGCATTATACTTATGAGAGCATTTGTGGTGTTTTGCCAATTATGAGAATATTTGCTTGTTTGTGTGTTGGTCCCAACAGCTTTTTAAATTCTTTGAATTTTGCGCATTTACTGAACAAACATTTGGGTGGCAATCTCCCTCATATTCCATGTACAATACTAACTCATAAACAAAACAGGCATGTTTGCCAATCTCATGGAGTTCAGACTCTTTAGGGGAGACACACAAATTAGTTGTTAATCATGCAAACAAAAATGTAATTACAAATGAGCATTAGTGTAGTAAAGTGGAATTCCAGGAAGGAGGTCAGTAAGGAAGTGTGAAAGTGCATGAGGGCAAGTGGGCATGCAGATTTCTCTGTCGTGGCTCTGTAAGCCATGGTAGGGGTTTGAATCCTTATTCAGAAGATTAGTGGGAAAATATTGAAGGCTTTGAAGTTAAGGAATGATTGCAAATAGCATATTTTAAAAATCACAGATACTCTCTTCCACCATGATACACATAGTGAGTAGGTGTGTATTTGTGTAATTGAACTTAATTTTTCATCTAAATTTTTCTCTTATTTATTTGTGTGTTTAAATACCTTCAGTATTAATGGTTTAACTGTGTGTTTTTTTTTTTTTTAACCTGGTGCTTCCAAGTCTGTTTCATATTCCTGCACCTAGAGAAAATGATAATGTCTCTACTGTGCTTGCAGTAGACAAGGTTTGCTTGGAGGTGTCCTGTCCCAGAACCAGCTGCCCAAGCTGTTCCTGTGCTAAGAGAGCTACTGCTACATTCACTTTTAAAGGCTAGAAAACACTCATTTAATTAGCCTAGGCTTTAGTTTAATGAGTTAAGTTTATAAGGAAGGCTTAAACTCCATATGTGTATTTTATGTGTGGCATCTTTATTGCTTTTTTTTTGTTATTTTACTTTCCTCCTCTAGTCTTGCTCTAGATAAACCGTAAATATGATTAAAGCCTCATTCTATTCTGTAATGCTGGAGAATTTATATACATTGTGGTAGTTGTTTTCCAAATCATAGTATCACATGTGTTTACAGATTTTGAATGAAATTTATGTGCCTAAAACAAATTATTAGACTAGGGGGAGAAGAATTATGTTTCATGATTTCTTTGACTTTTAAATTATTAGTAATTCCAAACTAAAGGTTCAGAGCTGTTTCTAAATTAAAGAAATGTTGTAAACACACCTAGTGTTTGATATCCCTTCATGAAAAGCCAAGTGTGTATTTAGCAGTGGTGTTTCAGTGAATCAGATCATCTTGCTAAGTTCTCTGTGTCTTTTACATTCTCTAGTGTGGCCAGACTCCACTGATGATAGCTGCTGAGCAAGGCAATCTGGAAATAGTGAAAGAATTGATTAAGAATGGAGCTAACTGTAATCTGGAAGATTTGGTATGTATTAAAATAATTTACTCATTTTTAGTCTTTTTCTTTTCCTTAGTTTATATCTTTGTTTTGAAAGAATGATTAAAAATAATTGATTTACAGTTATACGTTCAGATATATCTCACCTTTGCCTCATGTGCTACTTCAGTTTCTTTAAGAGTAATTCAGGAGAGTAACTTTTGCCTTCAGTGAAGGATCTCAGCTCTCCATGCTTTTTCTACATATATGGCACTGGCTGAATAGAGAGCATATGTGCATACAATTAAATGCCTGCTTAGAAATGTCCATGTGTGAGTTATGTTGGTTTAGCTCCCCATAATTGTAATTTATTGAAAATATCACTACCCTTGATATCGGCCAGAAAGATGTGAACTCCGTATGATACTGCTATAGTATATCAGAATGGAATCACCATTCCAAAAGGTTACATTTCCTCTGAATTCCTCTGTTTTGTGATCACATTTTATTTTAATTGAATGATCAGTTGAATTAAATTGCACATAATGTAAAAATTAGGGTAGTTGCATCCTTTGCTTAAAAAAATACAAGTGAATAGTTCTTTTTATTTATCATATAATTTCTGAACTCTCAATATCAATACTTTAATAACCTATGCATTTTCTCTCAGATCTAATTATAGGCTCTTTAAACTCAATTTATAGTAATGGTTGCTAGCCACAGATTAGTCTTCAGGTTTGGTGGTCATCTTTTCTCCTTTTTTAAAAACACAGTATGTGATTACAAGTCCAGTGAGAAGACTGAACAAGCAGCTGCCAAGTTGTTTCTGCACCATTAGTAGTGATATAAGTAGATAAATTCTGAAGAGAGCTTCAATATTATTTTATGGAACTTTATAATGTTCAGATTATAATGGTCAGATAATGTCAGTTTGGTATGATCATTTGGTATGTAAATTCAGATTTTTTTCCCCCTCACTTTGAAATCAAGTATATTTTAAATTTTAAAACATATCATTTTGTACATGTATTCAAGGATAAATGGACAGCACTTATATCTGCTTCAAAAGAAGGACACATACACATTGTGGAAGAGCTACTTAAATGTGGGGTTAACTTGGAGCACCGTGATATGGTATGTGCGTTTTCTATAATACAGCATTAGTTAGCTGAAATCTTGCTAGCAATAACAGATACATGAAATCTTATATGTATGAAGTGATATTATTGTAATGATTTTAGGATTTGGGGGTGGAAATTGAAATACTCAAGAATGATTTAAGCCCTTATGTTATGTCCCTCTTTTAGAAGGTTCTTAGTCATCATTTTCAGTTTATAGAGTTTAAAATTATGAAATATCGTTAAAAACATTTTTAAAAACATTTCATTATTCTCAAGTATTTTATTTATTTTTAAACATTTTTGTTAATATAGTTATACAGTGGATTTCATGGTGACATTTCTATAAATACAGATATTATGCCATGGTTGGCTCATCCCCTCCACTATTGTCCTTCCTACCCCATTCTCCTTCTTAAAATCAACAAGTTTCAATGTTCCATATTCATACATGTATAGAAAGTATATCAACCATATTCACCCTCCTTTTCCTTCTTCATTTACCCTCCCCTCCCACTAGTTTTCTTCCCTTAACATGACCTGTTTTACCTTCCTGTCCTTCATTGTTTTAAGTGTCTGTTCATTGTTCAGTGGAGATTTTCCCTTGGTATTTTACCTGTGAATATATTATACTTAAATCAGTCTTACCCCTTCCGCTAGTCTTCTTTACCCTTTTCCCCCCTCCCCTATATTGTTCTGCAGTTTTCAGTGTGTTTTGTTGTGTCTTGTTCCTACACAGATGTGATGTATTTCACTGATACTCAGTCTAATTTTTTTCTTCTTTTCCTCCTCCCCTAGTCTCCTCTTATAAGATTGTGATTACCCTGTGTAAATCATATTGTATTTCTTAAAGTAAGTTGGTGGAATGCTGCCATATTTAAAAATTGAGACCATCTATACTTCCTAATGTCCCATCAGCTAACTATACATGGTTTATATGTCACTTCAAGGCAGAATATTTATTTGGATTATAAGCCAGTACTATACTTAATCTTTTGCTCAAGTTATTTCAGCTGGCCATTGGAATTCTTTCTGACTGATTTCTAAGTCCTTTCAAGATGCTCTCCCCTTTTATTTATTTTTTTAAGTGTTTCCTTCCTTTTTGGTACCTCAAGATGCTTCAGGCTCATGCTTATCTTTTATTTTCCTTTCCTTCTTAATGGAATCATCCAGTTGTCCAAGAAAATGAAAGGAGAGGAGGCTGTCTAGGGAAAGGTTTGTAACAGCCAAAATAAAATTTGGAGTAAAATTTGGAAGAGTCCAGCATGAATTTTCCCTATTTGAGCTTTTGTGGCATAGTACAAACTTTGGAATAATTATTCATGGATGCAAGAGATTTGACTCATTTCATGGACTATTGTAGACTTTTGTGGGATCTTGGAAATTTAAACCAATGATGTTATTAAGATAAACACAGAAGGAACTTAATTAGTGACATTTTTATGCTTGGATGTGATCCAGTTTTGTATCCCTCCATTTTTTCTTTAGGGGGGATGGACAGCTCTCATGTGGGCATGCTACAAAGGCCGGACTGATGTGGTAGAGTTGCTTCTTTCTCATGGCGCCAGTCCAAGTGTCACTGGTCTGGTAAGCGTTCACCAAAAATTTAATTTGTAGCATAAGTGGTAAGTTTTCTTAGGAAATGCCTCAGGCTATTTTTACTTCATAGTGGATGGAGATTTCCTAGATCATATTAAATATAATGTAGAATATGATTTTACAACACAATGGAAACTTTGTAAGTTGAGCTTATTTCTCAGTTTTTGTCAACAAAAAGGCAACACTTAGGGCTAAAATGGTAATTTTAACTATATAACATTTCAAAAGGAGATTTTGAAATCCTTGGTTATCTTTTCTGTTTTCTATGAGTATGCATACTTAATCTGAACTTCTTTAAAGAAACATATACCAATTAATGATACCATTGCTATACATTCTGTTGTATATACTTATACTCATTTTATTTCCTGTTCCTCTTATTAATTTTGCCTGTTGGGTAAATAATCACATGAAGTGTATTGGCTCAATAAAAATAAATGTGTTCATAATATATGCTTCTTTAAGGTTGACTGCATCTTTTTGCCAATTATATATTATAAGCATTATTTGTGTTTTTAAAGCAGAGAGTGATCTACAAAATGTTTTTTAAAAAATACTACTTTGTGCTACTCTCTTTGATATTTATGTACTGTGTGGCAAATATCCACCTAAAAGATTCTCTTTTCATTCCTCCCTTTCTCTATTCCTCTTTTCCTCCCTTCCCTCCCATCTACTGTCCATCCCAGCAGTATAGCGTTTACCCAATCATTTGGGCAGCAGGAAGAGGCCATGCAGATATAGTGCATCTTCTACTGCAAAATGGTGCTAAAGTCAACTGCTGTGATAAGGTAACTTATCTAGCTTGTGTTATGCCTGCTAGAGTGTCTTAGTTATAAACATTTTCATATAAAGTTACTCAAATAATTTTATTTTTTATATAAATATAATTTATATAAATTTATATATATTTAAATTATATATATTTATAAATTTATGAATATAATTTATATAAATATAATTTTATATTTTTGTATATTATTTTATTTATGTAGCTATATGGCTTATAGTTGGATTCTTTGTATGTATTATGCACTGTTTCCTTTTGATGTTTATTATATCCCATTCATCATTCTCAAGAAGATAGCGACAGTGATTCACTGTCTCTGTTGTTTGAAGTTTTGAGTTGTAACTCTTCTTCCTTTAGTCCTACCTGCTTTCCTGCTTTTCCTTTATTATTGCAAGAATGATCTTTTTTTAAAATTCAGGTTTGTTTATCTCTCTCTTGTGTATGAAATCCTAAAGACCAGCCTTGGTATGGTGGATATTGGTAGGACTTGCCTCCCTTTGTCCTGATACCTATAACCCAAGTTACCTTGCATGCTAGCCTGTCTAATGACCTGTAGTTTCCTGAGTTCCTGTGCTCTTTCCCAGTGTGCTATGACCTCTCCTCAGTTTCTCTTTATTCTGGAGGCCCAGCTCATTTGTCACGTCTAGAAAGCTCCCTAGAATGTTCTTCTATCCTCCCCGTTTTTTTGTTTTTTTTTTTAAATCCTTAGCACTAACCTCAAACATTTGATGAGTAATTAATGTTTTTATTCTCCTTTCTTTTGGTGGTTTTCAGTGTTTCAGGATAAAGCCCATGCTTCCTGGTTTGACTTCAGCATATATTCCTAGTCTTACTTTTTGCCTTCGCTTTCCATATCCTGCACCTTTAGACACAACAGTTTGTCTAACATTCTGTGAACTTTGCTTATTCCCCCTGCTAGAATCTGTGCTATTACCTTATCATCTGCCTGATGAACTTCTATTTCTTTTTCAAGGTTAACTTGAGATGTTATCTGCCTGTCAAATCTCTGCCTACCGATGTCTCTCTGTACTGTCAGAATTCTCTGTGCATACTTCCATTGGAGCACATAAACTAATGCTGTGCAATAATTGCTTTTTCCTTTTTTGAGAAGATGAGGAATGCTGTTATTTTTCCTGTTGGTCCTTACTTCTATTGACTGTGTTACAATTTGATAGGTTGTTGGGATGATCATATTCTTTTCAGGTTAATAACTCTGTAGCTAAACATCTGACAAAGAGCTGTTACCTAGAGTTTGTTTTTAGAATTGTAATAGAGTATGAGCGTGACTTTCTTTAAATAAATAGTTGCTAACACTCATGGGAGTGTTGGGAGCCATACATTCCTTGATCTGGATGGTGGTCAGACAGGTTTGTACATATGTAAAAATCACCAAGTGTATACTAAAGAGAGTATATTTTTGTATTTTATGCATGTTGTGCCTTATTGTAAAAAATACTGCATAAAATAGAAGTCCAGTAGGTAGGGGGGATAAGGAGACAGTAGTATATTTATATTATAATATACTGTTTTAGGAAGAGTGCATTTTGTAATTCTGATCGACTATTAGATGTGTAAGATGTTTCTAATAGTTCTTTTTGTTGATTTTTTGATATGACAGTCTAATATAGATAAACCTTCATTTTTTTCCTTATGGCCTACAGAAAATTGTTTATATACAGTTTGCCATTTATGGTGCTCCAGAATCATATATTATGCTACTCAATCTGCCTTTCTTTAGCATTCTGAGAAAATGATTAGTACCTGCTATGTGCTATCCCTGTATTTAGCATAGAAGATGCAGAAACAAAGAAAGAATGATCTCTGTTGAGAGAAGCAGGAAGATAAGTGGAACGTGTAATATGCTTAGGTTAGGCTCAGATGACTTTAAAGATAGGGGAATCCACTGATGGCTGAGCAGTCAATAAAGAACTGATAGATTATGTGAGACTTACTAAGAGTGGAACTTATATCCAAGAAGACTAGGAGAAGAAGCCATGCTACACACAGGGGAAAATGAGAGCAAAAAGCCCAAGTATGACTTGGCATGGCATGTTGAGGGGGTGCTGAGCAGACCAGGGAATGAGCTGAACTGAGTGTGAGGAGAGGAGCTGGCCAAGGAAGCCTTGGCCATAGAAGCCACCACCTTCAGGTAGGCCCTGAACACCTTACTAAAAAGTGGATGTCTGCCCTGTAGATACTGAAAACCACTGGGGAATTAGTGTTGTAGATTGGCACAAACTGGTATTAATTTTAGAAAAACTGTCATTTAACAGTAGGCTTGTTAAAGATAGAGAATATTCTTCTTGCTGACAAAAGTAGGTTTTTATGGGCACTCATTTTTAGAAAAGGGAACACATCATTTAAGTTGTGTTGACTGAGGCAATGGGGCACCTGTGGTTAAAAGTGTCTGTCCTACTGGATAGTGGACCTAAGGGTTGTCAGCTGGTGGGAAAAGGCTTGCATAGAGGTGATTCTGGAAATTCTAGAAGCATAGGTTTAATAGCAGAGTTCACGGGGAGCTCAGCAGTGTCTGATAATTAGGAGTACTTCCAGAGGTAGAAGAATTTGGTTGGTGAAAAATCAATGGTGAGAAATGACTTGAAAGCTCAAGGTTGAAGGCACAGTCAATAGTTCATGTGACTGTAGAGCTTTCAGGAAAAGAAAGAACTGAATTTAAGAGCTATAGATCTGGGGCTTAGGTAACGATTGTTGCCCTCATGGATAGTAATTCTGTAAGATTTATGGCAGAAACTAGTTTTTTGAAGGGGTTTTGTTGAAGAATTGAAAACACCCTTATAAATTATTTTCAAAGTGTGAAAGACAGGACAATGCTTAGTATCTTAAGAGAGTAGGTTTTTGGAAAAGTTTGTTAGGAGAGGAAAGCCTAAATCAGAAGGATGTAAATTAGAGACTAACAGGAAGGGAGGATTAGAAGGAAAGACATGGTGTGGGAGGAGATGGTTGAAAAAGGTCTAGACAGAACAGATTAAGATAGGATCAAGGGGATACATAAAGGGAGCAAACAAGACTGTGACTGAAAAAAAAAAAAGAGAAAACTATTTAGACCATAGAGATTTGATTTAGAAGGAATAGAGGCCAGAACTTGAGAAAAAGAGAACAGAGAGACTTACTAAGGTGGTTGAATGCTAACTCCAGAGCTCTTTTGAAGTAGACAGAATGCCAGGTGAGGATGGTCTTGCCCCAGGCGCCAAGAGTTCTTTGTAATGATGAAATTGAGATGGCTTGCTGAATATGAGGGTGAGATGAGCTGGCCAATGTGATGACGAGGGGAAAGAGTAGCCATGCTAAGCATATAATCCTGCACAGTTCAGTTCTGTAAAAGGGTAAAAATCAAATGCAGTGGGTGTTGAAAGGATGAGCTCTTAAGTCAAATTAGCATTTTTAAAGCAGGCCTTATTAGTAGTGAATGTGTATGTGTGTTATCCTTGTGACTGTCTGGCTCTTGTTTGTAGGGATATGGAGGGCATTTCAGCCAGAGAAAACATGTTAGCCACAAAGAAGGATGCTGGAAAAGAGAATTTAATTCTGGGAGAAGTGCAGTCCTTATTCCATCTCTCTAAGCCTGTTTTGAGGCCATGGCTGTGATGATTGTTCTCTTTCATGGCCTGTCTCCTTGTCGTTAGGCTCCTTTCCTATGTACTGTATTATAGGCAGGCTTGCGAGTCTGGCTGTCGTGAGGTTCAGTTCATCAAGAAGAGCACTGAGGACTGTAGCTTTCCACAGTGTGGTTGCCGTGATGTCTGGTATAAGTAGAATGGTGCTGCCCAGTGCAGTAACCACTAGCCACATACGGCTACTAGACTTTTAAATAAAATTGAAGATTCAGTTCCTGAGTCACATTAGCCACGTTTCAAGAGCTTAATAATCATGCGTGCGTTTCTTTCTACACAGCCCTGTTGGATAGGGCTGCCATAGCAAGCTTAGTAAATGTTCATTTTCATCCGCAGGCCCCATGAACTTAAAGGTCACTGTGGGCACTCGTGTGTGTGGATTGCCTATCATAGCATAAAGTCATGGCCTTGACTTTATGCAAGGTTTGTATTCTCTGATGCCTTTTGCGTCATGTTCCAGGAAAAGGTGCTTTTGAGTACGGCTTCCAGGCCGAAGGTATCAAGAACAGAGGCTGAGAGTAGACTCTGTGCCAGGCTTGTTGGGCTCATGGGTCTTGTTCTACCTCTTGATAGAGTTGGGACTTTGACATTTTAATCTTTTCAGAGCCTCACTTCCTCAGCTGTGAGAATGTAACATTGTGAATTGTATTTATTCTGTGATAAGGTTTATTCTGTGATACATGGGAGGCAGAAATTGAGAGGATCATGGATTGAGGCCAGCCTAGGCAAAGAGTTAATGAGACTCACCTCAACCAACAAACTGGGTGGTCTGTGTCTTTAATTCCAGCTAGGAGGGGAGCAAAAGTAGGTGGATTGTAGTCCAAGGCTTATCCTTGGCAAAAAACATGTATGCTATCTGAAAATAACTAAACTAAAATGTATTGGTGGAGTGGCTGAAGAAACCTGCCTAGCAAACTCAAGGTCCTGAGTTCAACTCCCAGTACTGCTAAACTCTCCCCCAATCCCCCCCTGCAAAAAGAAGAAAACCCTAAAAAATTGTGCTTAGCACTTGATTGTTGCTATTTTTTGCTTCTAGTCAGACTGTTGGACTTTAAATTCTTTCTAATAAAATATGGGAAGCAATGAAAGCTTGTTGAAAATTAGGAGCTGTATGACTTTGTGATGGAAAAGCTTTCTTTGCTTATAAAAGCTAAGAAAGTTGCTTAAAAGGCATTTCATGCAGTGATTTTAACCATCTAAAATGAGGGAAATAGAATTTATCTAGGATTAAAATTATGATTGGTATAAACATGTAAGAATACTCAACATAAAGTTTTATCAAAATTCATGTTGTAAGCTAGTTTCTTTTAGTATTTCCCCTGATAATAATTTAAAATGTATTGTTTAATAGTTTGGAACCACCCCTTTGGTTTGGGCTGCACGAAAGGGTCATTTGGAATGTGTGAAGCATTTATTGTCCATGGGTGCTGATGTCGATCAAAAAGGAGCAGTAAGTGCCTTAATCACACTTGAGTTGTATTAACACCCATTATTTCACTTTGTTTTCCATGTTGTCTGTGCTACTCACTGTTGACCTTCAAGGAGAATGGACTGTCTTCACTCTGAGAGGAGACAGAACAGGATTCCTAAGCAGATATAGACATCTTGCCTTCCACTTGTGTCCCTTTTGGGAAGGTTATCAAGTGGATGAGTGTCTGTTCTCTGGGATGATTGACTGCCAAGGAATTTGAAAAGGCTATGTCATTTTAATATATGAGATAATTACGGCTTAATTAGAGGTGCAGCTTTTAAAAAAATTAAAATTAAAATAGGATAGTTTTTGAAAATGGGTTTTTAGGCCATCGTCACTTACTACACTTTATCTTGAAATATTCTGTAGCAATTCATTCATGGTTTTACCTCAGTTTTTCCTATATGTTTTATTACAAAAAATTCTTAGTATGAAACTGGAGGTGTGGCTCAAGAGGTAGAGTATCTGCCTACCCAGTTTGAGACCCTGAGTTTAGTGCTTAGTACCACCAAAAAAAAAAAAAAAAAGCTTATTTTGAGGTTTGAGTTACTTTACTTTGGATTATTTAATTTAGAATGTGTTTGAGTCATTTTGTCAACTACTTTATTACATTCATGAGTTTGTTCATTGTAAATAAGTCTAGTTTCAGATAATCATTTAGGCACTGGTGCTCCTAATATTTCTAATGACTGAAGAGAATTATATCTTTAAAAACTGAAAATATGTCTTATAGCCATTTTTGGTATGTGTCTGATTATTTATATTGCATCTTGTCAGAAGCAACTCTTAATCATCTTAGGTGTAAGTCTTGCTTACAGTATTTGCTAAGAGCATGCTTAAGGCCCCTGAGGGAAGAGTGGGGGAAGAGATAGGAAGAGAACAAAGGGGAGGGCTGTTAGTAATAGGCCACTTATTTTTTATTATGGTGTAAATCATGTTTTCTAGACTATACTAATTTGGAATTTTTTTTTTTTAAGAATTCAATGACTGCACTTATTGTGGCAGTAAAAGGAGGCTACACACAGTCAGTAAAAGAAATTTTGAAACGGAATCCAAATGTAAATTTAACTGACAAGGATGGAAACACAGCCTTGATGATTGCATCAAAGGAGGGACATACGGAGATTGTGCAGGATCTGCTGGATGCTGGGACATATGTGAACATACCTGACAGGGTCGGTCACCTCGTTCAGATTTGTCTAGTGGTGAAGTGGTGAAAGATTAGCTGTTTACTTCCACCTTTCAAGATTCTTCATGTCTGACAACTTGTTTTAAGTTTCATTTCTACCTTTGAAACTAATGTTAACAATTACTCAGTCTTTCTGAAGAATGCTCATTTTTTTAAAAATTATTGTGTTCCTGAAATGGTTGATTTATCTGTTAACTGTCCTTGATGTATATCACTGTTTTGTTTTGTTTTTTTTTCACAGCTGGTGTTATTCATTATTCCAGGGCTTGAAATACCACATTTATACCTAAGATTTTCAAAATTCTGTCTTGCCTCAATTTGTTCTCTGAGGTCACATTTTATAAGTGTAGCTTCATTTGAACTCTCTACTTGAATGTCTCTTTAGTGAGCTTCTTAAACTTACAGCATGACAAAAATTAATGTCTCCCCCTGTCTTGTACACACTTGTCTCACTGTGGGGCCTTTGCACAGCTCTGCTGTCTGTCTGGAGCGCTGTCTTCATGTGATGACAAATTCTCTTTCATTTCAGCTTAACTCTACCTAGTCTTCAGCTGTCTAGCCCTCTTCTATTTGTATAGTGTTTGTATGCTTTTTAAATTTATTGTACATTGTCTTCTCTGCTAGACTGCAAATTTGCCCAGAGCTGAGACCTTGCCTTTCTTGTTTCCCAGTGCTGGAATGGTACATGGCACGTTATAAACAGTGACATCTTTGTAGCCATTTAGTAACTTACTAGCTTCTCACCCACGTTCGTTCTCACACTCATAACTAAAGTTTGTGTGCTTTGGGTTTGTTTCTGCAGTGAAGGGGCAGTTAAGACGCTGTACCATAGCACTGAAGTTAACAGTCATCCAGGACTGGCACATGGGGCCACGTAGACCTGAATTGAGCCAAGCTCATGGGCTCACCCAACCTAAACACCTACAGCTGATTTGTAATTTAGGACTAAATAATAAGACACATGTGCCATTGCCAAAACAGTATTTGAGGTAGTTGGAACATGTGATTTAAAATAGCAAAGAACTGTGCTCATGAGGTAGTGAACTTCACCTGAGGCTTATACAGGTAAGCCTTGTATACTACAGGCCTGTGACTGACTTCCAACTGGCCAGATAGCCAGGGACATGGGTCTGGGAACTAGTCCTCATCGTTAATTAAATATGACTATAGCACCAGGGATAGCTAGCTTAGCTTTGTAGTACCCCCTCTCCACCTCACTTTTTTTTTCTTTTTAAAAAAACCCATGCCCTTTGTCATATGGTATTATTCAAGGTTTTTTAAAAATTATGTCATGTCCAGGTACTTTTCTGGTCCATTGACAGCCAGTGTCAATTTATTTAATTTATATTTGTAATGGGAGATTACCTGCTGAGAGACATAGAATAGGTTCTCCTTCTGGGCAGTTTGCTTTCTAAGTTTTTGTCATGAAATTTCATGAATTCTTATGTTGAGGCCTAATGTTCCCTGTCCCTTACTCAAACAACTATTAATTATCAGGCATTGCTATTAGTTAGCTAAAACTTTTCTTTTGTTTAATGATAAACTCTTTTCCTAAGAAAATTTTAGAGCAGACCTATTATATTAATAAATGAGTTACCTTAACATCAAAATAGTGCTTATTTGTTCTCATCACCAACTGATCCTGTTTTTTGTCTTTTTAGAGTGGGGATACTGTGTTGATTGGTGCTGTCAGAGGTGGTCATGTCGAAATTGTTCGAGCACTTCTCCAAAAATATGCTGATATTGACATTAGAGGACAGGTATGTGTGATTACAGAGCACTGGTTATCTTGGAGTATAGTTGGTGGTATTGGGGTTTGAACTTAGGGCTTTGTGCTTGCTAGGCTTAAAGTGGCTCTGCTGCTTGAACCACACCTCCAACCTGGTTGCTGCTTTTTAAGTCAAGTAACACTAACTTTTCCTAGGCTTTTCTCATGAAGAATTTCTCAAAAGTATGTCTTAGAGAGCATATGGATTAACATTATTTCCTACTGTGCTTCCTATTGGAATGGTTTTTGGCAGAAATGTTATGTTATTTTATATTTACAAATAGCAGTTTTTAATGTTGTATCTTATATGAAGTGATTTTTTCAAATTACAGGACAATAAAACTGCTTTATATTGGGCTGTTGAAAAGGGATATGCAACAATGGTGAGAGATATCCTACAGTGCAATCCTGATACTGAAATATGCACAAAGGTGAAAATGACATTTCTATTCTGTTAGCAATATCCAGTGCTGAATATTAGTACTGCTTTTTGTCCCATCATCATTGTTTGACTTTAAAGTTAACTGATTTTACTGGAAATGCTTTCTATTAAATTGAGGGGTAACTTTGTATCCTTTTAAAGTTAAATATGCATAGCAAATGCACTGTGTAATTTGATACTTGAATTAAATAGTGCTTTTCACAAATCTCCCCCAGTGTTTCATGCTTCTCTTTGTGGTGCAAAGCCTGTTTTCTGAAGACCTTTGTGAGTGGTCATTGGTTCTGCACACCAGCCATTTTAGCCTTATATATGATAGCTTTGTGAGGGGAAAGTATATTTTGAATTCTGTATTAAAATGTCAGAAATTCCTAATGCATAAAGCAAAGTGATAGAGTCATCCATAAGACTATCCTGTTTCATCTGCTAGAGACCTGGACCAGTACATTTGTAAATCAGTGATGGTCTTTCCAGTGCCCTGGGACATAAACTTCCCTGGAATATCTATGGCTTTGCTCATTGAACATCTTTTTTAAAAAATCTTTTTCTTTTAAACCCCTGAGTCAGCCACTGAAATGACATGTGGCATCTGTCCATGGTTTTGTCTTTCCTACCTGGTGCTTCATTTGTTTCATTTGATTTTGAAGGCAATTATGGACTCTTTGGAGGTTTTGCAAAGTCTGACTGCTGGTATCAAATGGTTTGAAAGTCCTTAGGTTCATATATGTTTCTTACAGTCTAGAAACTCCCTTGCTTGGATGTTGAGAGGCTGGGCTGGGGATTGTTTGGTGGGTAGAGAGCAAGAAGAGGAAGCAGCCTATGCAGGACCTGTCTCCAGGTCAGCATTGGCCCGGGGGAATTGACTGGAGTAGCCACTGCAGCAGGTGTGGGTGAGGAACAGCTCGGGGTACATCCCACAGCTGGCTAAGTGATACAAACTTATTTTCACACAAAAAGGTGGTCATGAAGGGAAAAGCACTTCTCTTTTTAGTTTTAAAACATAGTCTTCAGAACATTTTAAATGTAGACTATTATCACAGTTAGAATTTCTTGGTATGTATATTTCTATAATACTAAATACTTGGCAGTAAAGCTATGGATCTGTGAAATCTCGTTATCTGCATCCACAGGATGGTGAAACCCCACTGATAAAGGCCACCAAGATGAGAAATATCGAAGTAGTAGAGCTGCTGCTAGATAATGGAGCTAAGGTGTCTGCGATAGATAAGGTAAGACATCTGTGCAGACAGAGACTCTTTGGTGAGTGTTGCTAGACTGACCTGTACATCAGTGGGCTTACTGGGGATCTGATCTAATGTGTGTGGGGAGAGATTACTGGCTGAGGCTGTCTGTGGGGGATTTTGATTCTGTTCCAGAGGTGTACTGAGGACTGGGCAGGCACAGTTTGCGATTGATGAAGCAGTTTCAGATTTTTCTTCTGAGGCTCATAAACCACTATGGAGATTTGCCCTTGACCACCACACACGTAGGGTGCCTCAGGGGTAGAACTTGTTGCAGATAAACTGAAGCAAAGAACCTGAAGGTACAGGAGAAAGTAGACCCTCAATGCAGACTGGCGTTCATGTTTACTAACAAGAGATGGACTGTTCTGCTTTGCGTCCTTACAGTTATCCTTTTAGAGCTTTCATATTTTTCATTATAACTGCACATTGCTTAACACTTTATAGACTTGATTTCTGGTTTTACTTTGTTTTCATTATAAACAGATTTATTTCTTTCCCTTTTCTCCCAGAAAGAGGTGAATTAATAAGAAATATTTAAAAAATTCTCCTGTGAATGTATACGGTTTGGGCTTTCTTAATACTTAGTAAATTAAAGCTTACCTTTCCATTATTTATGGGAAAATTAAACAAAAAACACAATATACTTTTTATTTTACCAAGTTAACAACATGACTTAAAACAGCTGGGCTTAGCAGTGCATGTCCATAATCCCAGCACTGGGGAGGCTGAGGCAGGAGGATGATTAAAAGTTCAAGGCTAGCCTGAACTACATGGTGAGACCCTATCTCAGAAAAAAGATGAAACAAAACTGAACAAACAAATCTTTTCATTTGTCATTTCTAAATTAATATAATTGCCTGTAGAAGAAAGAAGATTTTAGTATTCAAAATTAGGAAGAGTGGGTGTCAGTGGCTCATGCCTGTAATCTGAGCTACTTGGGAGACTGAGATTGGGAGAATCATAGTTTGAGACTAGCTGGGGCAAATGGCCATGAGATGCCATGTCCAAAGTAACCTAGCAAGATGAATTGAAGGTGTGGCTCAAGCACTAAAGTACCTACTTTGCATGCGAGAAGCCCTGAGTTCAAGCCATATTTCCCCTCTCCAAAGTAAGTAGATCATAATAGACGGGAGGTGTGGCTCAAGGGGTAGAATACCTGCTTTGCAACCGTGAATCTCTTAAGTTCAAACCCCAGTTGATAAAATAATAAATTAAAAAAATTAGGAAGGACATAAAAATCAAGAAGAATTTTTGAATTACAGCTTTATGGAAAACATCCTGTTGCCCGTTTTCCTCATTCTGTCATTGAGTCATATCTGATACTGGTCCCCCCAACTTGCATCAAGATTGCTGGTCACAAGTAAGTTTCCTGAAGGACTTCCATCTCGATCCATGCATATGTGACCATGCCAGAGCCTGCGTGTGATATGTGCTGAGAAGCATCCTCGGTAGCTGGAAAAGTTGTTCATTTTAAGTATTCATACTGAGGACTGATAGGATGTCCTGTAAGCATTTGGAATACAGCCTCATAGGAGTTTTGAAGCTGGCTCTTCATAGAGAATTTCCTAAAAATAGATTTATGAATAAATATGATTTTTTAACCATCCCATTACCACTCTGTGTTTATCTTCAGCTTATGAACAGAATGTATTAGTATCTTCTCTGTTCAGAAGTTGTATGTCTGGCAGGCATGCTGCTTCTGAGATTCTGCCTTCTCACAGAATTGTGGGGAGAAATGGAGTTGAGTGGGACAGGAAGGTGGTGAAATGTGCCTCAGATGTTTGTAGTTTGAGGAGTGGTAAGACATTCAGGAGGTTGTAACCGTAAGGCACTGGGAAGTGTGGGACAAGAATGAGGGAAAGAAATGCAGGCTGGGGATGGAAACTTGTCTGTCATTGAGCTATGTCAGTTGCACGGGCATGACGAAGATCAGTGTGAAGAAAGATGAAAGCCAAGGTCAATGTTTTCCTCTTCTATGGTTTGTGTTGTAGTGTAGTTGTTTTTATAATTGTGCTTGTTCACCCAGTCTCTTTCTTTTACGACATCAATTATTTAGGTCACAACTGTTTGTCTTCCATCTTTATCCCCTCCAAAGTATCTCGCATACAAAGTCCCTATAAATACTAAGGTCACAACATAGTTGTTTAGAAGATAGGAAAAGAATGTACAGAGGAAAGAAGAGGAGAAGTTAGGATAAGGTTGTGCCATGGAAGCCACAGGAAGAACATGTGGGTCATTTTTTTGGTGATGCTGGGGTTTGAACTGAGGGCTCCAGGCTTGCTAGTGAAGCACTTTACCACTTAGCCAGACCCTGTCCTTTTGCTTTTAATTTGTTTGTTAGATAGGGTCTTTGGGCCAACCTCAAACCTTGCTCCTCCTATCTCCACTTCCCTTGCAGCTGGGATTATAGGCATATATCATATGCCTGGCCCCTGCAGGGCATTTTCGTTAAGTATCACAGATCCATGTGGATGAGAACTGGGAATTTAATTTGTTAAGTTTGGGGCCATTGGTTGTCTTCAAGAGAAGAATTTGTGAAGTAATACATGGGAGAGTACTGGCAGACTGATGAGGCCTTTTTGCATACCATTTTTTCCTAGCATTGGATATGAACATTAATGAGGGAAGAATGTGGGTTGATATTAGGGAAAGTGAAAAAGTGAGGAGAGGGAACAGATTGTAGAGGTCAGAGAAGGATATATATGACAGGAAGGCTCAGCGTTGGGCAATGTGGCGGAATGGAATTTAAGGGTGCATCACAGGGCAAGTAGTTGACATGCGAGGTGACGAGGTTACCTGTGCCTGTGCTGGCTGGGGTGTCAGCACGAAAGCTAACAAAGACATCCGTGAAATAGAATACACGTTAGTTGAGGAAGATGGCTTATATCCTTGGACAAAAAATATTTGGATGACAGATAGGTACTGGGAGGAGTGCAGGGAGAAAGGCTGTTGCTCCTCTTTCCAGGAGATGAGGGGGAGAAGTATAGCCTTCGTTATAAAGGGCTGGGGAAATAAATAGTTTCTGAGGAAAGCTGGAAAAGAAAGGAATTACGGGGAAGGCAGATAAAAATTCATGTTATATATGTACTCTATGAAAAATAGGAACAGTGCAGACTTTGTTGCTGTACAGAAGCATCACAATTGTTACTCTCTACTGTATATTAAAATGAGAAAGTTCATGTTTCCTGCTGTTATTTTATAGAAAGGAGATACTCCCTTGCATATTGCTATTCGTGGAAGGAGTCGGAAACTGGCAGAACTTCTTTTAAGAAATCCCAAAGATGGGCGTTTACTTTATAGGCCAAACAAAGCAGGAGAGACTCCTTACAACATTGACTGTAGCCATCAGAAAAGCATTTTAACACAAATATTTGGAGCCAGTAAGTATGGGGTTTTGTCCCTGACTGAGCTTTGGAAAAAATGAGTGTGCAGTTTTAGCATTGAAAAATAAAAGAGGCCAACTTCTGTAATTACCACTTAACTGGACAATACAAAAGTTAAGAAAGTTATTTTATTTTGGAAAATAATTTTCCACGTGTAAAATTCTTTTGCATTGTTTTGTAGCATTCTAAGTTAAGTACATTGAGCCATCAGTTTGTAAGGGTTCTATAAATTGAACCTATTTTTTCTAAATGCCTCCCCCCCCCCGTAGTTTTTATCAGACATGCTTTGCAATCTTAGCATACATTACAGTTCTCTACTTTTGTGTTTTGTCTACTGCAGGCCATGTTTTCTATCCCCATGAATATTATGTACTTATTACAACCATCTCTCTCCTTCAAAGATTGTGTCTGCTCTCCCTTCTTCATAGGTTGTTTTTGTTTTGTCAGTAATGGGGTTTGAACTTGTGCCTTGTGCTTGCTAGGCAGGCATTCTGGTACTTGAGCTAGTGCCTCAGCCCATTTTGCTTTAGTTATTTTTCAGATAGGTTGTGTTTATACCTGGGCAGGCCTGGACTACAATCATCCCTCCTGTTTATGGGATGACAGGTGTCCACCACCATACCTAGTGTGTCATGAGTGAGATGGGTGTCTCTCAAACTTTTTTGTCTGTGCCGGCCTTTGAAGTGTGGTCTTCTTGATATCTGCCCCGTAAGAAGCTAGGCATGAACCACTGGTGCCTGACTTGTATGTAATTTTTAATGTTTCAGACATATGAGTTTTATCAAGGTGTGGGGTATGTAGAGTTTTAATTTTAATTTTTAAATGAAATGCCTCTGATGTTGATATCCTGCACAAGTTCAATAGTGTTCTGATCATTGAAGTTGTATAGTATTTTTATACTGTCTGCAAGGATACCTACCCTTTGGTACTCTTTAAAATTTCTTTCTTAGCTGTCCTAACCTGTTTTTCTTGCTTTCAGTTTTTAAAAATACTCTCTGGGGTTTTGATTGGAATTGCCTTCAAGTGATAGATTAGTTTGAGGACAATTGATATTTTTAAGTCATTGAATCTTTCTACCGGTGACCAAAGACTTTTTATTTTTTCTGAGTATGTATTATCTTTTTCATTAATGCTTTGTGTTTTTGTTGTTGTATTTTTTGAATTCCAAAGTGCATATTAATTCAGTTTCTCTGAAACTGAAATTTGTCTTACCAATTTTTTTCTTTTCTGATGGGACTGGGGTTTGAACTTGGGGCTTCATGCAAAGCAGGAGCTCTACCTCTTGAGCCATGCCTCCATCCATTTTGGTATTGTTATTTTGGGGATGAGGTCTCCTGACCTGTTTGCTGGGGTCAGCATCGAACCACGATTCTTCCAATCTCAGCCTCCCAAGTAGGTAGGATTACAGGAGTGAGCCACTGGCGTCCGACATTCTTTGTTTTTGCTGGTGCTGGGGATTAAACCTAGGGCCTTGCACTTCTTAGTTAAGCGCTCCACCCTTGAGTTGCATGCCATCCTTAAAACATGCCTCAGAAGCTGTGGGTAAGAAAGCATCACAGCACAATTGGCCTGCATCTTTTCTGAACTGCGCATAAAAATGAAGCATCTTACAATATCATGTATCTTAAGTTCCATGCAATAAGGTATTTGTCTATGAATTCCTGAACCTATTTTTACACAGACCCAAATGTTTAAAATAAGTGTTTTTCTCTAATAAACAATAAGTGAGATTTGGTATTCCTTTCTACCGGTAGTGCACTTCACGTATAGATATGTTGTGTTTCTAATTACAGGACACTTGTCTCCTACCGAAACAGATGGTGACATGCTTGGTTATGATTTATATAGCAGTGCCCTGGCAGATATTCTCAGTGAACCTACCATGCAGCCGCCCATTTGCGTGGGGTTGTATGCACAGTGGGGAAGTGGGAAATCTTTCTTACTCAAGAAACTAGAAGGTAAGGGGCATATTTTGTACAGTCTCTGGAGTAAAGGAGAAACTAGAGTTCTGTGTATAGGTATGTGGGTGACACTATTGCTGTCCTACATTTGTTGGGGTTTTATTGCCCTCTAGTTTTACTGTGATCCTGTCCACGGTCATTTGAGTTTTCAAAAACAGATCCAATTGATAAAACCCTTAGTACTACATTTCACAAGCCCATCACACACTTGTCAGTTTGTGGTGCTCCCTGGTGAGCTCCATGCTGCAGTCTGGAGCACTGTGTGCTCTTGCCTCAACAGAACAGATATTTTGCTGACTTGTTCCCTCTGTCAGGAGCTTCTTGGACAGCTACCTCCCACCCCCCAACACACACATCATTTGCTTGGGAAAATTGTACTTATTTTTTAAGGCAAGTTGCAGTATTGCTTGTAAAAATTACCATGAGTCGTGTAGAAAGAATGACTTGTGTAGGGCTCATTTGGGTTCAGCACACCTGGAGAACTGTGATTCTCGAATGTAATTAGAGTGTGAGGGGACCACAGAGGCATGGTGGTGGTGTACAGTTTGAAGATACTTTGAAGAAACAACAACATTGTTTGTATCACACAAAACACATAAAAGAAATCCTAACAAAATCTTGACAGATGGGAGTATATGCAGAAGGGTTTTGTGTATCCTCAGTATGAAGCAAGACAGTGGGCGTGTAGGTAGGCCCATGGGAATGAGATGCTTGTGTTTGTCAAGAGACATTGCTTAAAATGGTTAAGTAGCAGCAGTCTATTGACTGTGTGCAGTAGATGCCCAGTAAAAGTTTTATTGAAATCACGAAAATTACATGTTAAGTTAAAAGGTGCATTTTTTTAAACAAAACAGAAACAAAGTTTCCTATGAATTTCTCTTTCAGATGAAATGAAGACATTTGCAGGACAACAGATTGAACCGCTTTTTCAGTTTTCTTGGCTTATCGTGTTTCTTACCCTGCTACTTTGTGGAGGGCTTGGCTTATTGTTCGCTTTTACGGTTGACCCAAATCTTGGCATAGCAATTTCATTGAGCTTCCTGGCGCTCTTATATATATTCTTCAGTAAGTCTTTGCTTCTCATCTTTTTGGAAGATGGAGAAGAAGGTCAAGACTAATTGTTTCACTTAAAAGATTGTCAATGTCTGTGTCTTAGAATCTACATGTGATTTTCATAATTGGCTAAGAAAGTTGATGTTTTTGCTCTTGTATAAATTGGCTTATAGGGACATTGTCCACAACGTGGCTGAAGTAGTTTTAAAAACCAGTGTATGGTCAATATTGAAGCAGGATTTTAATTACTCATTATACTTACTCTTTTGTAGCTAACTAATGACCTACATGTAAATCTTTTTTTGAAGAGAAAGTGTCATAGCCATCCCTGGCAGGCTCTAGAGCATTTTAACCATGATTGTATTTTTTAATTTATCCAAAAGCAAAGTAAGAAAGTAAACTAGAATCCCTGTTCCTGAGGTTGTCGTCATTTGCAAGAAAGAAAATGGGTTTGCTTTTGGAGGAACTGAGAACTTTAACAGTGATAAACTCATAGTCTTTTGCATTTGAACCCGTAGTAAAGACATATCTCTGTTTAAGGCTTTATCTTTCTGAGTGTAACTCTCGGGTCATATGTTAGTCAGTTTGCATGTTTTACATGCCTTCCATGTGTTGAGGAAGGTTAGTTGATGAATTCCTTGAGGAGTAGTTAGGAATTAGTGTGGGACCATAAAAAAGTATGTAAGCTTAGCTGTCATTACTCATTACTTAACTATTGTAGAAGAGAACTTGCCTGAGTAGTGATTGTTTTCAGTAATCTTTTTAAAATTGCATTTCAGTTGTCATTTACTTTGGTGGACGAAGGGAAGGAGAGAGTTGGAATTGGGCCTGGGCCATCAGTCCAGATTGGCAAGGCATATTGGCTATTTGGAACTTCTCTTCAGACTCATGTTTGTGAACCCACCTGAACTGCCAGAGCAAACTACAAAAGCTTTGCCTGTGAGGTGAGTCAGTCCCTTCATTAAGCAAAACTTTTTTTTTACTTAATAAGGTTGTAATGTATCTTGTTCCAAAAAGTTTGGTACATTGAATCTTTTATACGAAAAAATAAAAACATGCCAAATGCATTTGGAAAACAAAACACTTCATAGTGTATCTCTCTCCTATACTTTTCTGTAATGAAACCTGTTTAACTTAGATTTACCACAGTTTATTTCTGCATAATCCTTCTTTTCCCTCTTTTGGTTACCTGTAACCATCCTTTGGACTTTTTTTTTTTTTTTTAATAGCAGTGTTGGAGATGGAATCCAGGGCTTCATGCCTGGTAGGCTAACACTCTACATTGTGCTATACTGGCCCTGCTCACACACTTTGAAAAGAGCATTGGATTAAAATGGCACCTTGGCTTATGAGCTCCAGATTGGAGATTTGGAACATCCCTAAATGAGTGTGTAACCTCCGGAAACTCAGCTTGCTTCTCTGAGCTGGTTGTTCCTCATTACTGCAAATATGTTTGCATGTTTGTCTAAATTATTCATAATAAATAGGAAATTCATGGGAAAACAGGGAAGATGAAAAACTTGTTTTTTTTTTTTTTGAAAAACTTTTAAGCCAAAGAATAAAGGAAATGTGTAGGGCTCCAGATGACAGTGAAAAAAAACAAAAGAGAAAACATAGAAAATTAAACCAAACAAACTTCAATAGGAGTTAGCAAAAATTCAAATGCATTAAATTCTAATAAGGTAAGATATGTGTAATTTAAGAGGAAAATAAATAGATCATGCCATAAAAGGTGTGTATGAGAGAGAAGTAAAGGTAAACATTTACAAGTATAGTTAGCCATCTGTTATCCTCAGGTTTTGCATCGGCGAATTCAACCAATCATAGATTGAAAATATTATTTTAAAAAATTGCACCTGTACTGAAAGTGTACAGACTGTTTTCTTTGTCATTTTTCCCGAAGCAGTACAGAGTGACTGCTGTTTATATAGCACTATATTATAATAGGTAAAATATGTGCAAGGATGGGTGTAGTTTATATGCAGATACTTTTTTTTTATATAAGGACTTGACCTCTTCCTAGAACAGTCCCCCATGAATACAGAGGGGCTCTCGTAATTAACAGGTAAGATTAAGTATTAAGAAAAGGATTTAAAACAGAAGTTTAAAAAAGAAAATGTTAAAAGGAAAACATACAGAATAGAGTAAAATAGGCGAAATATTTTTACAGAATATGAGAAAAAAACCAACTTTAATGAGTTTGTAGTTTTAAAAAGTTAGAACAACGGTAATAGCATCAGTCAAGACCACAGAAATAATACAGTGTGATCCCAGGTTGTATTTTGAAAGCAGTGCTTTTCTTCTGAATTGAGATGAGAGTTACGTGGAAGGAGAGAAAGGAAGTAATGCTGAAATAATGATTCAGCAGCTCAAGGCACAAATAATTGAGTTATTTTGAAGAAGAATTTATGGAAAGAACATTACAACTTTATCTAAATTCATGTTTGATGTTGAAGCTATTAATAAGAATTAGAAAACCTGAGTTTTTAGGGCTGATAGAGTAGATCAAGTGGTAGAGCACTGCTGACAAGCGTGAGGCCTGTGTTCAAATCCCAGTAACAGAAAAAGAAAAGAAAAGAGAAATGTTCAAGTTTTTAAATGATGCTATGGGGTTTGCAATTCTTCATGAGTATTATTAATATTTTCTCATGTTAAGAAATCTTGAGGTGGTTTTAGAAAAGTTTCTTTGTGCCACTTTTCTGGTCATATTCTGATACCAAGTGCTGCCACCTTTCATTATTGTTGTTTCCTAAGGGAAGTATGAAGATGTTGAAAGTTAGAAGGCATCTGAGTACAAGTTCTTTCCCTCCTCAGAATTTTAATACAGTATTTCAAAGGAGCATCAAAAATGTAGAGTAAATGATTCAGAAATGACTTACTGTGAAGTTATTTGTTGCTGTAGTTGTTTGAGTAATGTTTTGCTTGGTCTTCCCCCAAGATTTTTGTTTACAGATTACAATAGGCTGTCCAGCGTAGGTGGAGAAACTTCCTTGGCTGAAATGATCGCAACCCTCTCAGATGCTTGTGAGAGAGAGTTTGGCTTTTTGGCAAACCAGGCTTTTTCGAGTATTCAAGACTGAAGATACTCAGGGTAGGATTTCCTTCCTTCCTTCTTTGTGTATGTCTACGGGTCGAGGGTTTTCATGAAAACAGGAGTTGATTAACAGAGTCATCAGATGCTGTGACATATTTGATATGTCACTAATTGTTAAAAACCGTTTGTTTTCTACAGGTAAAAAGAAGTGGAAAAAAACTTGCTGTCTGCCATCATTTGTCATCTTCCTTTTTATCTTTGGCTGCATTATTGCTGGAATTACTCTTCTGGCTCTATTCCGAGTTGACCCAAAACATCTGACAGTAAATGCTGTCCTCATCTCAGTTGCGTCTATGGTGGGGTTGGCCTTTGTGCTGAACTTTCGTACATGGTGGCAAGTTTGGACTCTCTCTTGAATCTCAAAGAAAACGCCTCCATCACGCTGCTTCCAAATTGCACAAGTTGAAAAGTGAAAGGATTCATGAAAGTAAGTTTTTTACTGGATAATCGGAAATTGTAATGTGAATTACGGTGTCGCTACCATGTTCGTTAGGCTTTGGTGTTGCTTTTGTTGTGTTTTGGCATTGCTGGCGTTGAACCAAATCCTTGTGCAGCTAGGCAACATTCTGAGTTACATCCCAGTCCTGTTGCGTTTAGTTTTAACTTAGTTTAT